GGACGGGGAGCGGGATGGGGAGCGGCGGCGCGAGCGCCCGCGGGGCTCCCCCGCCGCCCCCGCCCCGCAGCCGCGTCCCGCACCCGGCGCTCCGCTCTCCCCGCGGAGCTCCGCCGGAGCCCGGCCCGCATTCCTGGCATAACTCGGCTCGACCGCAACCACCCTCCTCCTCCCCATCACCCCGCGCCAACGGGGAGGACGAAGCGGCGGCGGCCCGTTCTCCCCGCGCCTCGTCGGGCAGCGAGGGCGAGGGGCAGAGCGGTGCCCACCGGCCCCGCGCCGCTCGGAAGAAGAAGGAGAGCGGTGCCTGGGAGAGCTCGGTGGATGGCGGCGATGCCGAGGCCGAAGGCTGCGCCAGGGTGGTCGCCCGGCACCCCCTGCCCGTGGTGGCCCGTGTCTCCAAGGTGAACATCCTGCCCTTCGCCAGCCCCGGCGGGTCGCGGAGCAGCAGTCGGTATTCCAGCACGGAGACGCTGAAGGAAGAGGAGCAGTTTGGGATGTGTTGGCCCAGCCAAGGGCGGACTCTCCAGGCGGGGTACGGGATCTATCGGTCACCCAGTTTTGGGACCAGCGATGGCCTGGCCTGGGCACAGCCGGGGGTCCGCACCCGCCCCAAGCTGCCCCAGGGCATGGCCAAGGCCAAACCGGACCGTGGGAGCGAGAGCCTACAGCAGCCAGGGCCGGAGGGGGAGCGGGCAGAGCACCGCAAGTCCTTGTCCAACCCCGACATTGCCACTGAGACCCTGACACTCCTCAGCTTCCTCAAATCAGACCTCTCAGAGCTGAAGGTGAAGAAGAAAGGGGTGAGGATCAGCCTGGACTCGGGCTCTGACGGATGCTCTGGCACCACCACCCCCTCCCCTGGCGGCTGCGGGGCCGCTCACCCCCCCAACCGCTGGGCACCGGGCGAGCGGCCAACGCTCAAGGACCTCACGGCCACTTTGCGCCGCGCCAAGTCCTTCACCTGCTCCGAAAAATCCGGGACGCGGCGGCTTTTCCTCCAGAGCGCCATGAAGCAGAGCTCCTCCGAGCTCCTCCTGGCCACCACCGACAGCCAGGACAGGGTGGCTCCGGATGGGGGGCAGCGGGGGGACGAGGAGGCTCTCCCCATGGTCATCCAGGATCAGTACATCCAGGAGGCGAGGCAGGTCTTCGAGAAGATCAGCAGGATGGGTTCCCAGCAGGATTACGGCTTTGCTGCCGAGCAGGACAGCGGAGGTGTGGAGGGTGCTGAGGGGGTGGCACCGACGGGGACGACGGACACGACCCTTCGGGGACAGGTGGATAGCGCAGGGTGTTTGAAGGAAGTGCAGTCGGAGGAGAACCTCGCCCGCAGTAAATCCGTGGAGGAGCTGTCGGGTCATGAGTCCAGCGTGACGGACGAGGGCATCGTCACGGAGCCAGAGCCCATGGCGATGACCTTCCAGGACCTGCACCAAGCTGTGGAGGCCTGGATGCTGCCCAACGCCGGGCCGGCAGCCGGTGACTCCGAAATGCCACTGCCCGCTCACCTGCCGGCGGCGGTCGAAGACCTTCCAGCTGGCAAAGCCGAGACGCCGAGCACGCCCGGCAGCCTGCGGCGCCGACGGAAGTTCCCATCGGCGGGTGCCAGCGGGATGGAGGGCGGCGGCGAGGGCGGCACCGAGTCCTACCGCTCCCTGAGTGACCCCATGCCCCACCGGCGGTGCTCGGTGGCGGAGGAGGCAAAGAATTTCTCCGTCGACAGCAACCTGCTGGGCTCGCTGAGCGCCAAGGCGGGCGTCCCCCAGCCCACCGGCAGCGCGGGCAGCGCGGGCAGTGACCTGTCCCTCAGCAGCGATGGCCCACGGGACTACAGCAGCCTCATCCAGACCATCGTGAGCCAGCCCGGCGCCATGGCCAAGCTCGTCGACGAGAAGGGCAACGGCAAGACCATCAAGAAGAAGTCCCTGAGCGACCCCAGCCGCCGCGGGGAGCTGCCGGCCGGCGCCTTCGAGGGGCCCGGCGAGGCCATCAGTGAGCTGGAGCCCAGCATCCCCCCGTCCAGCAGCGAGCCCATCCTCTCACCGGGCGCCAGCCGTGGCTACGGCTTTGACCCCAAGCTGGCCGACGTGCTGTCCCCTCGCGTGGCCCGGCGCAGCTCCAAGAAGCGCTCCAACCGCGCGGCCCACCAGGAGAACCAGCCGCCCCCCGCGCCCGCCGTCCTCGCCAAGAGCCGCCCGGCCACCAAGCACGTGCGGCACACCAG